CTCCCTTGACTTGAAACAAGATTATTCTCTTTTAGATCTGTAAACTGTTCTCCTTGAAAGGCTTTATTCACTTCAGGCTTCTGAAATCTTCATGTTTCAGAGAAGCCTGCTCTGCCAGCCTCTCTGCTTTCAAGTTATTTATATTCAACATTCTTTCTCTCTCTTTGTACAGCACATACCCCTCTTACACCAATGTATCTTTCAGTAAACGCTTCAGAAATAAAGGCTCGACATTTTAACTTAGAATGAGGTCAGGAGTTTCATAACTTGAAGTCTCAAGTATATACAAAGGTGTTCTTTCCATCCTAGATAAAAGATGCTTACAGTCCTGTATGGGAGCATAGTGCCTAAGGCAGTTGACTGCTAACCACACCTCGGAAGGAAGGTTGAACAATCTACTTCTGTAGTGGTACCACCTCGGAAACCCAAGGAGGGGTCACTATGAGTCGGGTCCGACAGCACATAACAACACTGATGTATGAAATCTTTAAAATACAATTTTACCTAAGCTTTCTAAACTTTTGAGAGTTGTGCATTTGCTGAAAGCCTGTTATATAAAGAGAGTGACAGCCTTGTTTGTTTTGGGGAAAGTAAAAATAGACTGTAAACTAGAATCAGAAGGAGAAGGACAATGATGCTGTCAAAATTTATCTGTTCCTTAGCATCATGGCACTGCCCCTGAGTTGACTCCCTCTTCCCTAGTGTTTATTCCACCCATTCTTTTAGTTTGGCAGGAAAAAAATCAACTATACTTTCCTTACTCTGGAACAACTGACTGTGAAACTGAGCTCTCTCTATTGCTGAAAGGCTCCAGGTTTCTGGTGGAAGATAAACTTATAGATTCCAACTTCCTTGAAAAAGTAAAGGCACAGGTAGTAACTTGCCTAACATGACATTGTAAGTTTTGGTAGAATTAAGATTAAAACCTGATTCCCTCAGTCCTACCGACCCTTGTATCTTCTAAATGATACATATACTATAGGGTCTTCCAAGGTCTTTTCTTTGAATCTTTTAAAAGATCTTTTCTGAACTCCAGTTACTTGATAATCATGTATCCCCTTAGGAGTTATTTGTTTTCATTACTGTCACACATTGTTTTAACTTCAGAGTCATACCTCTGGAATGAAAACTATGGGTCTCATTTCATAAGCTGAACCAATCATCTCTACTCTTAATAGTTGCTTGTCCAACTATATTTTAAGCTCCTTGAAGATAGGACCCATGCCTTGCATTTCTTAACTGTTAAATAGTAGTCAACACTAAATGACATTTGATACACTTAAGTGTAATTAGCCTATCACACTATAGTTTGATGATTAAGTACTAAATAAGCTAAAGAAAAGTTCTATATGAGACGAGACCACTGTCAGTGCTGACCTTTCTTAAAAAAGAAAAAAGCCTTTATAACCTTTTAAAATTTCTCTAACACATCTGCAAATCCAAGAATACAGAAATAAAAAAGAGTAAAAGAAGTACATACTATTTTTCAACCAAAAGTATGCATTTTTAAAAGGTATGTAGAGGACTGCTGCCAAATTTATAATACAAGATTTTGTAGATTAAAAGGTCAGTTGTATCAGCCATTAGTACAGTGCCTAAACCAGAAAATTAGTGGTTCAAATCCACCAGCTGCTCTTCAGAAGGAAGATGAGGCAATCTACTTCGGTAAAGATACATTCCTTTGGAAACCCAGTAGGTTTCTGACTCAGTGGCAATGGGCTTTTTTTAGGGGGGTGGTTTGTATCAACCATTGGACCTATAATTCTCATCAGTTTATTCTTAAAATAACTGGCTCTGGTAGCATAGTGCCTAAGGCACTTGACTGCTAACCAGAAGGCTGATGGCTCCTCAGAAGAAAGGCTGGGCAATCTACTTCCGTAGTGATACCACCTTGGAAACCCAAGGAGGGGTCACTGTGAATTGGGTCTGACTTGACGGCATATAACAACAACAACATAACTGGCGTTTCTGCATTGTTAAGAGAGGATAGTGTTATCAAACAAAATCCATTTTTGAAAACATGCTTTGGTTTGCAAAGCCATGACATGCTTAAAAATCTAAAAAGATACAGAACAGTAAATATATACCACCCATCTGATCGTAACCACTCAACTCAAGTCTGGGGAATGATATATTTCTTAAATTTTTAAAAGTTCCTTTGAAATGTGTTGTTAGTTGCTGTCAAGTCAGTTTTGATTTTTGGTGTTGCCATTATGTGCAGGGTAGAGTTCTGTAGAGTTTTCAAGGCTGTGACCTTTTGGAAGCAAATTGCCAGGCTTGTCTTCCAAGGTGCCCAGGTGGGTTTGAACTGCCAGCCTTTCGGTTAATAGTCCAGCGCTTAACCATTTGTGCCATCCATGGACTGCATTTAGAATAGAGGGGAAAAAAAATATGACTCTACGTAGGTAACAATGGGATATGTTCCTGTTAGGGGCTGTTGATGGTTCCAACTCATAGCGACCCTGTGTACAACAGAATGAAACATAGCCCGATCCCGCACAGTCCTTGCTGTGTTTGAGCCCATTGTTGCAGCCATTGTGTCAGTCCCTCTACTTTACCAAGCATGCTGTCCTTCTCCAGGGACTGGTCCCTCCTGACAACATGTCCAAAGTACAGTCAGTAAATAATGTCTCACCATCCTTCCTTCTAAGGAGCATTCTGGTATATAGTGTTCTCCAAAGGTGTTACAGAATAAAAATATGCACTCATTAATGATTTAGATAATAAATCCATGAAGGGCGAGGCTCCTAAATGGTGATTAAAGCAAACTAAGAACATGGGGAGGAGTATACAGGCATGCCTTGGAGATACTGCATGTTGGTTCCAGACCACCACAATAAAACACATGTTGCAATAAAGCTAGTCACATGAATTTTTTGGTTTTCCAATGCATAATACTTTTAGTTAATGTTTGCACTATAGTATAGTCTATTAAGTGCAATGGTATTTTAAAGAAGTTTGAAATTTTGTGTGGAATTACCAAAATGTGACAGAGACAGGAGATGAGCACGTGCTGTTGGAAAAATGGCACAGATAGATTTGCTCGACACAAACCTTCAATTTGTAGAAAATTAATTATCTGTGAAGCACAATAAAGTGAAATACAATAAAATGAGATATGCTTGTATATAAAAAATTCTGATGCCAAATAAGGTATATCTTACCCAACACATTCCAGTACCTAGTCAAAGATTCCTATATTACATGGATTATAATTTGTGACTACCCTTTGTAGAATTTCTTACCAAAATCTGAAAATAGATTTAACTGGAAAAAAAAAATCAAGGCACAGCTTTTCTAATTATTTCTATAATTGAATTGATGATGTGGTATAATCCAAGGAAAGAATGTAAGGAACAGCTTTTTAAACTCGTATGAAACAGTATATTCAAAGGGTCACTTTGTGGTGCTGACATCTAGGTAGTAGTTCATTCTTTGCAATCCACAGACTTATTTTTAGAGCAGCGGCATAGTGTTTTGCTACATCATAGCTAGAACGTAAGCTTTAAAATTGTTATCCTGGTCAGAGAGTGAAATCAGTAGTGCCTATTTTAGACCTGCTTGAAGGATATAACTCAGTACAGTGTCACATTGTTCTGGTTAGAAGTTTTGCAGACTACCATCTCCACCTCAGCTCTGAAGGATGGTACGGTAAAAGTTTATTATCTGATCACTATGGGATTTTAAACTTCAAACGAATTTTTATAGTCTCTTAAAGATTGAGTGTTGAAAATTACCATTTTCATTTTAGGTATTCTTAGACATTATTTATTATTTTTATCTTAAATTTTACAGAGATACATTGAGATTATTAGAGAGAAAAGGTAGTTTTCATACTTAAGACATTTTCTAAACAGCTTTTTTTGTTTATTTGAATTCTCTAAAACTGAATTTCTCTAAAACTCTTGTGTTCTGATTTCTGTTTAGAGGACTTAGTCACTTCAAGTGATTTAGTGTGGCTCTGCAAAAAATTAAGGAGCTCTGGTGGCACAGTGGTTAAAGCGTTGGGCTGCTAACCAGAAGGTCAGCTGTTTGAGCCCACCAGCCACTTCACTGGAGAAAGATGAGGCATTCTGCTTCTGTAAAGATTTACAGCCTTGGAAACCCTACGAGTGCAGTTCTGCTCTATCCTATAGGGTCACTATGAGTTGGATTCGACTCAATGTCAGTGGGTGTTGGTGCAGGAAATGGATTTGAAGAGAGTGGAAATGTCTATAAAACTTAATTATAGATGGATTAACTTAAGAGTTTTCTATGCTTTTCAGTTAGCCTTTCATCAAATAATCTTTTTTTAACTACTCTGATTCCAGAAGTGAGGGTAACAATAAGGATGTTAGTGGAAAATGGAAGGAAGATATTTGACAATCGAGATTAGGAGATGAAGACCTGCTCCATCTGGCAGCCTGCCCACCTGCCATTTCACCTTGCTGTCTGCCATAGAATGGCAGTTAGTTTGGGCTAGTGCTGCAGACAACTGGGCCTGTTGAAGATGAATTAGTATTCCTCAACACATTTATACTAGAGTATAGAAGTGGCACTGTTCTCTGGGTACCTACATTTTTTGCTGCTGCTTTTATTGTTATTAAAACAAGAAAAGCAGTCATTCTTGGGCTATACAGTGGTACTGGTAATTTGTAATCTTAAGGTGTTGTGAATTTTGAAGTAATGTGAGGTATGGTTTGGAATTTGAAGTTAGTGATGGACGGATTGTTTATAAAACACCGCAACTACTCAGGGTAAGTGAACTCAAAGCCATGAGTCTGGTTTTTCTCCTTTGTAGCCTGGTCCAATTAGTGATTGTTTCCATTAGCTGAGAGAAATGTTTGGCAAGTGAAATTGTGCTGCTGAATAGTTCTTAGGAGACTCTTTCCCTAATTAGGTCAAACATATTTGAAAGGTTGACTCAGTTTACTTTCATTAGTCATTATTTTGATTCAACCGTAAATAATCTTAAATGTTGGCTTTGTTTTTCTTGTATATTTTTTCGTAATTAGGATTTAAACGCCACCATGTCGAGCAAAAGGGCAAAGACCAAGACCACCAAGAAGCGCCCTCAGCGCGCAACATCCAATGTGTTTGCCATGTTCGATCAGTCACAGATACAGGAGTTCAAAGAGGCCTTCAACATGATTGATCAGAACAGAGATGGCTTCATTGACAAGGAAGATTTGCATGATATGCTTGCCTCCCTGGGTAATAAATCAGTTTTAATATTAACATTAGAGATAGAATGTTTATGATGCCTTTTATGTTTTTCATAAGTCTTAAGGCTCTGTGAAGTGAGTCTAATGATGTTATAGTCTACTAAGATTCAAAACAAGGTCTGGAGTGGTGTTCCCCAAAGTGTAGTCATTTAATCACTACACTGAAAACACTCATCTTGATTACTGGAATATTCCATCTGATATCCCAGTGGAATAGCAGCCTCTTAATAGAGGGCTCTATTCATTAAGAAGATTTTTTTCCCCAAAATAGTTTTGCTGTCATGGATTCAAACAACAAACTGTACAAATGATAGTCATTCTTGCCAAGATGTTTACTATAATTAATAATTGGTATGTATTGTAATTAAAATTATGGCCTCTTTTTTTGTTTAGGAAAAAATCCAACTGATGAGTATCTGGATGCCATGATGAATGAGGCTCCAGGTCCCATCAATTTCACCATGTTCCTTACGATGTTTGGGGAGAAGCTAAATGGAACAGATCCTGAAGATGTCATCAGAAATGCTTTTGCTTGCTTTGATGAAGAAGCAACTGGTAAATCAGAGATAATCATTAATTGCAAAGTGATTTAATGTTTAGCTCTGGTGACTAAAACATACAATAACTTGAACATATATTAGAACACATAACACCCTCAGGTTTATACCACACCAATTTTATTTTGGACGGGATTCTGCAGCATGTTCATTACTCTCTTAAGGGACCTTAACTATTTAATTGTTGTTATTAATCAGTAGGTTGTACTTGAAACCTCTTTGGAGGTTACATTATTCCTTTACTAGAATATTAGCTCCACAAGGATGGGGTTCTTGGTAAATGTGTGTTAAATGAGTAACTTTTACCAGAGCAATCTTGGAGAAAATATCATTGCTACTGTCTGGCTCCAGGAGCTCTGGTAGCATAGTGCCTAAGGCACTTGACTGCTAACCAGAAGGCTGGCGGTTCAA